TGGGCTTCCATTCCTTATGTCCCTTAACTTTGACTACATCACATTTGCTTCAGAGCAAAGTTTTGCTCTAGAGGGAGTGCAGTCTGTTGTCCACTCTGCAACAAGAGAAATTGCAGGTTTGTCTGTTATACACTGGCAGCAGCATTTCTTTCAGCAATAGAAACAGACTTTATCAAATAACAATCTGCTGCAAGCTCTCCCTTCCCTGCACTAAAAGGTATGCAAAAGTAATTGTTAGAAGTAATAAAATATTCTAACACAGTATGTCCTGTGGTTAAGGTTCTCTCCCTGCAGTTTCTCCCAGGACACACCACTATTCATTAATCCCAAAGGGAAACTATTCTTAGTCACTAAAGCCATCCCAGTAGAAAGCTCAGTTCTTTCCTGCATAGATTTATTTCTGCTGTACTGTTAATTATACTGTACAGAGTGCCAAAATTAATTCTTCATCTCTCCCTCCCTCTCTCTCTCTCTCTCTCTGTCTCTCTGTCTCTCCTGACAGCTCAGGTTCCAGACAGTGATGAGCAGTTTGTGCCTGACTTTCACTCAGAAAACTGTAAGTAGCACGGGGAGGATCACATGTCTCAGGGGAGAAGGGCAAACTCAAATTCTGGTGCCTTTCCTGTGCTGATACCCCTCCTCTCTGTCCAGAGCAGTTTCTCCCATGAAAACTGAAATGAAACACTTTTACTGGTTGCTCTTGTTTACCTCCTTTCCCTGTACTTGGCCCTGCAGCACAGCTGGGCTTGGTCTCTGAGTCATATATCTCATTTCTTCCTCTTTTTGACCCGGAACTGAGGATGGGCCCGTGTTTCACTCTGAGTGAATTCATGAGTCAGTTGTAATGTAATAGCCTGTTCCAGCTATAAGGGTCTGGAAAGCATTGGCTGCTCCTAACACATCCAGCTTCTTGAAATTTCCACAGAGGTCAGTGCACTGGAGAGAGAACTTATTTTTTTTACCCTCGAGACTCAGCTGACCAATCAGCATTTTTAGATGGACTGTATATATCTGTTTGCTTCATACATTGAAAAGGGTTGCTACAGGCACAGAAAGACTCTTTTCTCTTCTGGCCCTTCCCTGGGCCTGGAGTGTTTGCACAGATGCAGGAGTGTCATGCTCAGAACACTGAATCCATCCCAGGTGTGGGGAGACCGCTGGGTCAGCACACTCAGCCCTCCCTCACCCTGGACAGTGCCCAGAGCTGTTTGTGAACAGGTCCCTCTGCTCTGACTGATGGCAGCCACAGGATCAACCACAGGAGCCAGTTGTGCCTGAGGAGCAGTAGGAGCCAGAAACAACAGGATGCTCTGTGATCTTGTGGATTTATGCAATACATATATATAGTAGTATTTTCCCACAGAAAGCCTTAAACTTTTGTAATCGCTGTGTCTACAAAAACCTCACATTTATTTTCCTGTAGGACAAACTGTACTATCAGGACATCTCCAACGTGTCATCATATTAGTGTATTATAATTTAATGCAGTGCTACATAATAATACTACTCACAAGACATGGTTCCCAGGTATGGCAAAGACCACTTTGCATGATGCAAATCAAAAGTTCGCTTTTATGTTCTGAAAAATAATGTGCAAGCTACACCTTATAACAGAAAATGTCTGTCCCAGCCCTGAACAGCTTAGGACATACCCACTCTAAATCCTTTTCAAAGTGCTCTGGATCATCACAGAGCATGTTAACACTACCTTAGATTTGCTCTTTTAAGGCTGATGTGTCATACACACTTCACTAAATCCAGGGCAGCGCTCAGGGAAGTCCAGTGAGCAGCTGTGCATGTTGGCATTTTGTTTCTTTCAGAGCCACCTGAACAAGGACAAGGTGGTGGCAGCTCCACTGGCAATTCACTGGCAGATAATCATAGCTGTCTATAAAGAAGAAAAGTGTCAACTTGATCTTTCCTTTCCCTCCTGCAGTAGCTTTTCACAGTCCTCCTGCTCAGATCAAAAAGGAGCCACAGAGCCCCTCAGAAGCCCCCCTGTCCTGCAGCCACGAGCAGCCCTTCCAGCAGCACAGTGAGCAGTGCCTTTACACCAGGTAACGTGGCTTACACAGGGGAGAGGCAGGAGCTGTTCTGAAACAAAGTGCTACTGCATTATCTAAGAATGGAGTGTGTGACAGCCCTGCCTGTGTGCTCAGTCCAGACCCAAGGGTGGGTCAGCTCAGACAGCCAGTCCCTGCTCTGGGCAGCTCAGAGCTGAGCAGGGTGGGTCTGGCTTTGCCTCTTTTTTCTTCTCCCTAGTGCTGTTCCTCATCTGTCTTCATGCTGAGCACAATCTTGACATCTACCACATGCCTCTCCCCCTTGCCTTCCAAAATCTGTCCCACACCACTGCCCATAGTGCCAAGCCCTTGCCTGAGCTCTAGTGTGGCTTCTTCAGCACAGACACCTTCCCTGGTTTTCTACCTGAAGGGTTGTTGCTGTTGTGTGTGGGGTCAACTAATACTCAGAGAGCAGGGTGTTTATGCTGGGATTTTGTCAGCCTAGGTGGCTGCACAGAGGGACAGCATGTTTGCCTTTGATATACTGTTCCCAGGTGCTGCCACAAGTCCTTCTAGGAGAGCTGTAATGCTCCAATATCTGTCTGACTGTTGCAGTGCCTATGATCAACCCAGACGAGTCGGAATCAAGTCCCCCAGCCCGGGAATCCTGACACAGTCACCACTCCAACAGTTCCCTAGACAGGACAGGAGCTTCCCAAGCCCTGTGGGGCCACCCCACTCCACATCCAGCTGTGGATACCTCAGTGAAAACAGGTGAGTTACTGCCAGGAGGAGGCAGCCACTGGCAAGAAGGATTGCCCTGATTGCCCTCCTGGGTGGTTCAGGGAGGAAGGGCTGCAGCATCCAGATGGAAGTTGTCTGTTTACAGTGAGCACAGGATCCCCTCCCATGGGATCCACTGCTGCTGCCTAGGGTTCAAAGTCCATAACCCTACCCCTGCTAGATTCTGTGAGTGATGGGCTGTACAGCAGCTCCCCTTGGAAACACCCTTCACTGGGGTCCCTTCTTCCCCCAGCTGTGAGTGAGCTCCTACAGCCCTAGTAAGAGGCTGAGGAAGTTTCTGTCCCTCAACCAGCCTCCCACCAGGGCTGAAACCAGGGGGGCCAAGAAAGCAGCCCTCTCATGTCCTCTCCCTTCTTCCAGCTCTGCCTATCAGCCACCTGTGGAGATGTGCCATTCCTTCCCCTCTTCCCAAGGCGTGGCCCAGGAAGACCCCATTGCCTACCAGTGCCAGATGCCCAAGCCCTGCCTCCAGTACCCTCACCAGGGCTTCAAACAGGAGCACCATGACCCACGATACGAGCAAGAAAGCCAGGCAGGCAGCAGCCACCAGTACCCAGCAGCTGTGGTGGTGAAGCAGGAGCAGGTGGACTACATGTACGACTCAGGTGGGCACAACGAGCTCTTCCTGACTGCAGAAACCAGGCATCAGTGGCAGTGAGCAGCTCCTGGGTGAACATCCATCACTGGTGGGCTTTGGGCTTTGAAATAGTTCTTCAGGAGCACGTGTGGTCTGGGAAACTGGCCTGGGTAACTGGTAATCTAGTAGGAAACTTAAACAGTTCCATCTGTTCCCTGCACCCAAGATAAAGTTGGGACATTCACCTTCCATGCATGTTCTGAGAAAGACCTTCTGGTAGATAGTTGGAAGCTTTAGTAAGACAGGAGGTAGAAGGTGATGTTAAATTCATTCAAACTAGATTAAAGTATGCTTTATTTTTTTTCCCCAAGGGAATAAGTAGCCAGTGGGGAGACTCTCAAAATTCACAGTTAGCCCACTCACACCATCAGTGCCATTGTACTGCTTGGTGTCCCTTGGAGTGTCAGCTTCCACTTGCTACTTCCCAAAGAAACAGGGCACAGAGAACAGAGATTTCAGGGGATCACAAGAGAAGAAAAGTTTATCATTCCAAAAATAGCTCTCTAGATACCAGGTCCACCAGGTGATCCTCTTATTTTTCCACAAGGAATAAATCTTAATTTTTCAGCAGACCTGTCTAAAGACTCACTACCCTGAGTTTGCAATAGCCTCTTCCAGAAGGAATGTTACTTCTGGTTTCCTGGTATTTTAATGGACATCTTGAATTGTTTCCTTTAGCAGAAATAAATACATAAATAAAAAGCTCCCATGAGGGTATAAAAACCACCACTGTGGTGAGGCTGATATTACACTTTCACTGGGTAGTTCTGTGCAGGCAGGGGAAGAAAATGCAAACCCAGAAGAATGCTTTTTGTGAGAGTAGTTTATGATTGTAATAAGACCCACTCTGTCAGCTCGGAGTACTCTTCCCTCAGCATCAGCAAAACATCTGCTGAAAGCAATGGCTGAACACAGGAGTGTGAGGGAAACATAAGATAAATCTTCCCAAAGCTCCCAGTTACAGCTTCCGTTTCAGCTGGGGACAGAAAATAGATTTGATTCAGAAAACACAAGATACAGAAGACACAAATTGCAGTGCTCAGGCAGCAATATACACTACAGAGAGCATGGAAAGACCTTCTGCTTGTTTTTAAACTCAGGCTATTTTTTTCTTTTTGTTTTCTCAATTGTTTGTGAGAATGCCCATCATGATGTGAAAAAAACAGGGAGACTTGAGACATCTGAAATGACATTTGAGAGACACTGTCTGCAGAAACATTCAGATGCTACTGCTCTGTTTAGATTATCACATGAATGTATGAAAAATGTAATGCCTTCTTACCTGGGAATGGATGTAGTTGTCTTAAACTGAGATGAGGGAGAGGTGTTATTCAAACTTAGCCTATTGTCCAAGATTTTGAATGAAGAGTGATGTCAAGGTGGCAGGCTAACTATCCCAGCTACTCTGAAGGATGTTGTGTGATAGTGCCACAAAAAACTACTGTAATGCACGATTGGAAAGATGATGCAGGTGAAGTTGTAGTTATCTTTCTGACACTAACCCTTTGGGAGGGCCCTGAGAGGATGTTGGTCAGACAGCTGCACTCACCTATCCACCTCTGGAGAGCAAGATCTTTCTGCCACCCGTGTTTTTTAAACAAATGAGCTTGTTAATTGTTCTGTAGATGTTCCTGACTGTGCTTCCATGTATGTAAATGCTGAGAGTTATCCAAGCCATTCAAACACAGAAGACACATTAGGTAAGAAAAGCAGTGACTGACTTCCTTTCCCTGCATGGAATTGCCCTCTGGTACTCTCCTGGCTGGCTGTGACTGCTGGTGTTGCTTTCTCTTTCAGGCTGCAGCTACGACAAGCAGATGAGGTCCTTTACTGATGATGTCTGTGTTGTTCCAGAAAAATTTGAAGGTTGGAGAAAGGCTCACAGTTTGGGTGTAAGATAGGGTTACCCAGCATCTTTGCTAGCCACCTGACCAGTGTCCTCATAGTTCATTATGCTGTGTTCTTGTGGGTGTGTTAGGTGTGGTTCATACTCAGCTTTTCAGTATCCCAATTCTTGGGCTTTCTTAGCAGCAAACAGGCCTTCTAGCACAAGTAGCTTAATTGTGAGGTTCAGCAGAGCTGCTTTTGATTTTTGCCTGTGAATTGGCCACTGTTTCATGTGAACTGAAATATTCCAGGTAAACATTAAACGTGTCTCTTCTTTTTTTTTTTTCCCAACGGTTTTTGCACTGCTATCCTTAGAAACATCTTGTTTGTTCTCAGCAGGAGACATCAAGCAGGAAGCTGGAGGGTACCGGGAAGGACCTCCCTACCAAAGACGGGGATCTCTCCAGCTCTGGCAGTTTCTTGTGGCTCTGCTGGATGACCCAACCAATTCCCACTTCATTGCCTGGACTGGCAGAGGGATGGAGTTCAAGCTCATTGAGCCAGAAGAGGTGATACCATGGAGTTTCTCTACAGGCTGAGGGGAAGCAGCCACCGTTTCTGGGGCTGCAAATTCCCAGGTGGCTTCTCCTCTTTCCTGTGAAGCTTCTGCCTACCAGTGGTACTCTCTAGACCCTGCAGCAAGTCAGGGTTTTTAGAAGAGGTCAAAAACACCTGGGTGGCAAATATCAGGTTTAGGGAAGGCTGCTTATATGTAAGTTTAGACTTTCAGCTATGCAGTGAGTCAAATTGTCCATTGCCTTCACTTCCCTAGATACTTGAATCTCAAGCTTGCAGTGACCTGTGCTGTCTTATCTTGCTCTACACTTGACTCTGACATGGAGGTTTGGAGTTTTGAACCCTAATGATTGCAGAAGTCCTCATAAGAAACTGGAAGAAAATATGTCCTAGTCTATATCAAAATGACATTACCAAGGTGTAATTTCTAATGCTGCCATGTTCCAAAAAACACAGTGATGCCTGACAGTATCCAGGAGATGTGTCTATAATATCTGTTCACTTCTATTTTCAACTAGAGCTGCATTTAGCACTGTTCTTGCTATATATCAACTTCTATGGGCACTTTTAGTGCAGATGAATTGTTTTGGTGGGTTGATATAGGCTTACAATGGATTTCTGAGTCTCACAGACAAAGCTGAAAATCATGTAGGAATAGGAAGGCACGTGGCTCTTCCATTGTGTTCCTTCACACAGCCCCTGACAAACATGAGACCCTTGAAGAGTAAGTGTAGCATGGGATGAAGCAGCTCTTTAGCACCCTCAGACTTTCAGAGTATTGGAGAGTGAGGAGAAGTGATGACAACAAACAAGCCCTGTAGGGTCAAGGAGAATTTCTCTTGAGTTCTACTCTTCGTGTTGTAAAGCTGCTAAATTATTGATGAGTCCATTATTTAAATGTTTGTACATGTTGTGGTGTCACTCCTCAAAAGAGAACCAGCCAGATAATGTTCTTTTGCCCTTGGGCTGGGTTCACAGACATTCCACACTTTATCCTGCTTTATTCTGCAGGTGGCCAGGCTGTGGGGGATCCAAAAGAACCGTCCAGCCATGAACTATGACAAGCTGAGCCGATCCCTTCGCTACTATTATGAAAAAGGCATCATGCAGAAGGTCAGTTTGCAAAGCAGGAGGAGACCATGACTTTTAAGTGATGCTTCTCTTGTTTGAGACAGGTACAGAATGTCCTTGAGCTAGCCAGGCATCCCAAGCTTTCTCTCCCCACAATCTCTCTTTGCAGCTGTTAAACAGTGAAGCTGGGAAGGAGCTGAATGTAGGCAATGTATGAGAAATAAAACAAAAAGGAATCGTGATTTCTTTTTCTGTGTATGTCTGCAGCCAGGAAAGTTGGAAATTATGCAGCTGAAAGGAGATACAGTCAGTCTAAACTTGCTTTTGTGAGAGAAAGGCTGCCCGAGGCTTTGTCCTATGGAGTAGGGATGGTCTGTGACAGATCCAGGGCACCAAAGAGATAAGTGGGAGTGCAACTATCACAGTACAGACTGCTCAGGGACTGCTGATGCTGTTGTTACCTGGACAAAGAGTCCGCTGGCAGCACCCCATTTCCCAGGAGCTGTTCCAGGGGAGCTCAGAGCAGCAGGAAAACAGCACAAGGAGACGTTTACAGCTCTGACGCGACTCCCGTGTTTTTGCAAGCCTTGCCAGGCACTGAGGAGCACTGCCCAGTGCTGCCTGTGGGCCTGCAGCATTCACCCCACCTCATCTCTCCCCTGCAGGTGGCTGGGGAGCGCTACGTGTACAAGTTTGTGTGTGAGCCCGAGGCCTTGTTCTCACTGGCCTTCCCCGACAACCAGCGGCCAGCGCTGAAGGCAGAGTTCGAGCGGCAGATCAGCGAGGAGGACACGGTGCCTCTTTCCCACCTGGATGAAAATGCCACTTACCTGCCAGACTTTGGGAGCTTCCCTCCACAGCTCTACAGCAAAGGCTACACGTACTAGCCCTGGTGGCAGCACAGTGCTGTGTATATACGTTCTATACATGGTTGTGTATAGGAGATAGCTGGTTAGTATTCAGTTGGTATCAGCATTTTTTCAGGCCAGCACTAAGCTACGAACACCTGCGTTGGTCAAGACAAGTGTTCAGGTACACATGTGGATAAACCACCTCTCAGCAGACAGGGCTCTTACGTGCTTGTGATAAGACCCCTCCTGTGTGTCAGGACAGCACATGTTCTTAGCCATGCAGACATCTTCCAAGCAGTGGAGCTACAGCTTCAGCAGCACGTCGGGTAACTGGTGCCTCCAGCCGGATCAAACACGCCTGGTGCAGCCCCTCTCGTTGGGGAGGGAGGGGATGCTGTCCCACTGGGCTTTTTTTCACATATGAGAATGCTACAAGGCTGCTGCTGACTCTATTCCTCCAGTACACGTACTGAACCTCTGTGTAACCTGCCCTCAGCTCTGACCACAGGGACTCACCTCTGAAAGGCCAGTCTTGCCTTCTCAGGATGGCTGCAGGATAGTGGTCACAGATCTTATGCCTCCCTGGGGGAATACTTGTTTTGAATGTGCATGCTCCTGCCTGATCACCTCCTTGCTCATTCTAGGACTTTCAGGCGCTCTGAGCAGGGTAGCTGGAAGCACTGGCCAGGATTAGAGCAGTCCTGTAGATGACACACCACCATTTAGGGGAACTACAGAGGTGCCTGATTGCATTGGTCTGGGACACAGGTCAAAGCCAATGCCATGTTCAGTTAGAGGGACTGGGGGAAGCAGCAAGGCCTGAGACACCAGCTCAGCACAGAGTTATGGCTTTTCCAAACTGAACAACTTTTTCAACAAACATCCTCAGGATCTTTCAAGACCTGTCAGGCTCTTGAGTGTGCCCATCCTGGGCTTGGCTATAAAAATCATCTAAGGCAAGAAAAGAACCTGGTGGAGGTGTGATAAAAACGCTGTACAAAGTAACCTAAACTATACATAGATCTTAATACTGGAATTCAGTCTTAAACTCCACAAACCTTTGCATGTTTGAGGGAAATCCTGATAGGTTGAAAAGGCAGCTCCCTCTGCAGCCCCATGGAGGGACTGACAGGTTTTCCACAATAGTGAACATTTATAATGAGTACCACATCCTTATTAAGAGATGTCTTTAATTAGCAGCTCCAACCACGTTCCCAGTTAGACAAGGAGCAGTACAGTGCACCTATACAGAAAAAGCCTGTTTCCTACTGCTTCATAATGATTTTTCAGCTGCTGAATACACAGCATTGCCAATCCCACCAGCATGGTAGCCTGTAGAGAAAATTCTGCATAGACTGAAAGCCTGATTTCTCCCAATGACCTTCCCCTGCATGGCTAATGCCAACCCTCCCAGCCTTGTCCCCGAGCAAGAGAGCCATGAAAGGCAGCATTCCCTGCCTGAGGAGAGGCCAGATGCTCAGAGCAGCCTGTTCTGTGCACTCCAGAGACTTGGTGTTCTGGCAGCTCCTGGCCCTCCTGCCGTGCCCTGTGCCCACCCAGCATCCCAGAAGTGAGGGTGAAGAGGAACCCTTGGATATAAAGCTGCCTTTACTATTTATGAGTGTAAAAATACTATAATTAATAAATTGGTCTACATCTTTGGCCAGTGCAACTTCATTGAGCCCCTGACTGGTCCTCCCTTACCTCCTGAGCTTGCTTTGCACAGCTCCTTGGCACCAGCTTGCAGCTTTGGGTAGCTGATCCAGAGGGCTCAGGGATGCATGTTTACTTCTGAATCTTGATGGAGTTGAAGAAATGAACACTTTGCTCACAACCAGGCCTGAAAGATCACAGTGAAATATGTAACCTCCAGCTGCACCTGGTGTCAGGGGAACAGTTCTCTGCAGCTGCAGAGAACACCACCCACGCTCCACACTGACAGCACACTGGCCCCTGAGCCAAGCTCCACAGTTTTAATTAGCTTTTCCCTGAACTTCAGCTCTGTCTCATGCAGCAGCACTTCCAGGGGAAGAGAGCATGTGCTACATGCAGAACTGGGAGCAGGACTAGGGAAGTGCAGGGCACACAGCGAGGAGTGTGGCACCCTGTCCCTGCTGCAGAGCCAACCACCCTGCCAGGGCACAGCCACTGATGTGGGCCTCTCTCTACAGGGAGAAGCACTTTCACACCAAGAGAGTGAGGTCCCTTCAAGGGAAGTATTTGTGCCTTCTGGGGGCTGCACCCTGCAGCAGCACTGTTTCTAACAAAGGAGACTGGCAGCTTGCTTTTCTTTGCTATCTCCACCTGCAGGATTCCCATGGATTTTACATTTATCCAGTATTCTTGGGGCTACCCTCTGCCCAACACATCTTCTGGAACGGGAATTCAGGGAGCTGGTTCACATTTGGATGAAATCTTAGCTCCACATTTCACTCGGGTTTGTACTGTCAGGGCAACAGATCAATTGCTGCAGAGCAGTTCTGGGAATCAGCAAGATCAGGTTCCCAGCATTGAGGGGCAGTGACCTCCAAAGGGCAGAGATTTATAATAACCAGATCAGAGAGCTGGGAGTCAATAAATACACTCTGCATTTCCAGTTTAGCTTGACTGAGAGGCAGCTGATATGGGAAAGATGGTGGAGGTAAGAGAGAAGTCATAATTTTCTCCTGATGGTCCTGAAAATGACCAGGAGCTTCCAGAAGGAAGATAAGCAGCTCCCACACAACCCTATAAAATACTCCCACGGAGGTTTCCATAAGCCAGAGACTGAGGAAGAACTTGTGCTTATTCCTAAGCACCACACCTACATGTCTTTTGAATCCCTCCAGGGACAGTGACTTCACCACTGCCCTGGGCAGCCTGTACCAATTCCTCACAACCCTTCCCGTGAAGAATTTTTTCCTAATATCCAGCCAAAACCTCCTCTGGCACAACTTGAGGCCATTTCCTTCCTCTTGTGCTATCACTGGGTGTCTGAGAGAAGAGGTCAACCCCATCTGGCTCCTGTCAGGGAGTTGTGGAGAGTGAGAAGGTCCCCCCTGAGCCTCCTTTTCTCCAGGCTGAGCCCCTCATCAGACTTGTTGTTCCAGACCATTCCCCAGCTCCATTGCCCCTCTCTGGACACATTCCAGCACCTCAACATCCTTCTTTATGAAGATGTATTATCAGAGGAAAGCTCAGGACATTTAACAACATCCCTGCCCACCTTTGCACAGATAGAGGTTTCCAACATAGGTACTTTTCAATGTGAAACATTCTTCAAATTTACTTTGTAAAAACAACCAGCCAACCTCATTCTCCTCGATTCAGCAATGATTTTAGCAAATGTTCCAGCTTTGGAAAAAAAAAATTAGAGTTTCTGGAGCTATGGAGTCAAATATGTTTCATTTGTTAGCAAAGAAAAAATAATTTACAGGTAGCTTTGGCATGACATAGCACACACTGGGCAGTCAACTTCTTTTTAAACAAGAAACTTATGCACCTTTTACAGGCATTTTATCTGTAAGAGCACATTCTATTAAAAAAACCAACAGTTGTGAGTGATGTCAACGTTCTAAGTGAAAATAAAACACCAGACACACTGTATAGGAAGTCTAAACATCTGTAACCACTTCTCAGACAGAGCCAAGCTGCAGAGGCAATGTGCTAATTACTCCCTGACACACCAGCCTTCAGCACCCAGGAGATGGGGATGAAGGACAAGACTTGCAACCTGACCTGTGCCATTGTCCAAATATAACTGACATTCTGGTTTCTAGAGGTTTTTCGTGCCTTATCCCAAAGCCACAGATCCTAAGTATCTCACCACTGATAGCCTGGTTAAGAGACAAATAGTTACAATGAACAGAAAAATGCATAAAATAGGAAAAATGGAAAACAAGTAGCTCCCAAAAAGCAGCCACTGTCCAAGAGCGTAAGTGGAAATAAATCCTTTTTAGCAGAGTAAAGAAACAAACTATTCCAGCCTCTGTGTGTCTGGTGACTCAGAAAACAGGTTGGTGAACAGCCAGTTTTTAATCACCATCTTTTTGTTGTTGTTCAGCTGAGTGCCCAGACTTCCAAGTCTCAGGTTTTGTCTGTTAAGTGGCGAATGACCAACGAAGTGCTCCAAGACCCACTTCTGAGAGGCCTGACACGTCCTGTGGGGCTGCAGCACATCTGTGCCCCAGCTGGGGCACTCCCTGGGCTCCTGCTCTGCCAGGGCTCATTACCTGTTCATAGCACAGGTGAGCTGCACAGGAATGTCTTGTCCTCCAGGACACTGGCAACGACGAAAAAGTCACAGTCCCACAAATGTAACACCAGCAGGAGTTGGCAGGGAGCTGAGCTCATCGCCGCCTGAACGCCCGCGAGATCCTCCAGGCGTTGGGCTCCTCGTAGCGATTGTACAGCGGCTCCAGGCGCTGCTGCTTCTTCTGCTTGCTCAGCTTGGTCGGGTCAGAAACCTTGAAGAAAGCTGGGGCAAATTCCACCAGCCAGCGAGGATCAATCGTTGTCACTTCCCGCATGTACTCCTTGGTGGTCAGCACCAGCTCGTGATACACCACCCTGTGAAAAGGGACAGCAACTCTGGAAACCAGTTTTTCCAAACAAGAAGCAACAAGACAACAGCTGGAGTTCCAAGCTTGCTCCTTTATCTCCTTCAGCATAAGGCTCCTTGTAAGCTCCATTGCAGGCTCCAAAAGGACCATGCAGAAGAGCTATCCCTATTTTCCCCCCTCTTACTTCACAACTACTCTTCAGCATAGAATTCCTTCATTCCATTTAAAACAACCCTTTTTCCCTCTTCAACACTCTGTTCTAAACTCAGTTTCACAACAGAGAAACACGGACTGCAGATTTCAGGCCTGGCCTTGGCTCCAAAAGTCAGTCTCATCTCTGCACGGGCACTAAGTTTAGCAGCAGAAAGAGCCAAAAGCAGACTTGAAACTTTTCTCACTCTGCTCATTGCTGAGAAATCAGCAACCTCTGCTCAGATCTGTACTTCACAAACAGTGCACACTGCAACTTCCTCTGTTATAAAGTCTGAAAAGAAACAGAAAACTCCATTGCTATTGCCTCCCTCACCATTCTGGCTGCCTGTTGAAGAGAGCACTGGATGGGTGGATATAAACTACTTGTTGGTCAATGAGTGTCCGATAACCTTCCTGGGGATCCTTCTTTGCTGCATTCCTGAAGAAGCCACTGCAGATGGCCTTCTGCACCCGAACTGTTGCCTTCCCACAGGACACCACATCCAGCTTGTGCCTGCCAGACGAGAGTTAGAGAGAAAAAAGTTTGGGTTCTCCAGATTTGGCTGCGGCCGCCAACATCGGGTTACCAAAATTTTATTACAAGGTAAGAACAATAAGAAGTAAAGTCACTGTTTGTCCTCCTTGACGTGCTCACCTGTCCATGATGCCCAACATCTGCTTGCGAATGTCCTGTGCCCTGCGTAAGGACCGGGCCTGGATAAAGTTTTCATAGCACCAGGGGTTTGAAAACTTGTTATTCTTCCAGGAATTGTACACAGCCAGCAGGGTGAGGTGGTCACCTTCTGTCTGATGGAACTTGGCTTTCTTTTGATCAGCAAGTGCTTGTTTATCCTACCACATAAGACACACATGAGTCAGATATCTACACTGTAGAGACAATCCTTATGCAACACAAACGATGTTGGGCCCTTGTCACTCATACCATGACATCTAAATCTACCAACAGAAGATACAAAATGTTGAGTGGTGAGTGACTAAGGACCAAGTGATGAAAACCTAAAGGTCACTGAGACTGGTCTGAGTCAAAAGGAAAGCCTAGAACTGTCCTTGTCAAAGACAGACCTCATGCAGACTCTCCCGTGGGTGACAAGGACCTGACCATAGAAAATGAACAATTTTTTTTTTTACTGAAACGTTTTATTCAATTTCAGTACCTATTTTTGAAAGAACACTTCAAAGTAAATGGTTCATTTATACTGCAGGAAGCATATACACATGTTGAACTAGCTGGTTTTTTTACTGCTCTAGAAATAACTTCAGTTATTCATCAAGAAAGGTGCTGCAGCAGCAGGTTTGAGCCTGCTGACCCACACACCTCTCCCATTTCTCCCACCTGTAAATAAAACATTAATCAAACACTGTAGCTACACGGATCAAAACTGAAGTTAACAGACTACACTGCAGGTGGCCACCATGAGGAAGAAATAATGGATTCAAGAGGACCCTGCTGCTGCTGAATCCCACCACAGTAGAGCCTGTTGCTTGCTGACTTAAAAGAAAGCAGCATAGGATAGGGTTTCCATGAAGAAATACTTTCTGTGTATCTGAAAATGCAAAGGCAATCTGAACTCCAGAGCTGGGTCTGACTTGGTTTAGGCTGTATGTGTTTATTGGAAAATGCAAAAAAGAGAATAAGACTTCTCACTTCTACCTTCCCATCTGCAAAGAAACTACCACCATCACAGCCTACAGGCCCCTAAACCAAAAGGCATATCAGAGAGGTAATGCAGGAGCAAATGGTCTGACCAAGTTACAGGTTTCTTTTGGCCACTCTGCTCACTCTAACCCCTGAGGCAGTCACACCAAACCCATCTGGACTGTAACACTGCTGCCTCTTGGCTCAGTGCCTCACCTTTGGCCTGTAAAACACGTTCTGCACAGACAGCATGG